ACAAAAGAATAGAAAATTTAACTGCATTCTGACCAACTTCCAAGGCTATCCTTTTCAGAGCTAAATCTCAGTAGTCTTGCTTTTCAACAAGGTTGTGGAAGAGCTTAAATATGACTATGTATCAATGGGGGGGGGGTAACTAGTTCTGGGTCTTGAACTCAGGGCCTGGGCAGTGCCCCTAAGCTCTTTTGCTCAAGGCTACCCCTCTACCAATTGAGCCACAGCTCCACTTCTGGTGTTTTTAGTGCTTAATTAGAGATAAGAGCCCAAGCTGGCTTCAAACTGTGATCCTCGGATCTCAGCTTCCTGAGCTGATTATAGGCATAAGCTACCATCACCCAGCCTAAACTAGATTTTAAAGTATGTATCTATCTCTACAAGTAAAGATATGTCTTTTTTCGTTTTGTTTTTTTTTTTTGGGGGGGGGTGGGTCCAGTTGTGGGCCTGAACTCTGGGCCTGGGCGCTGTCCCTCAACTCTTCAGCTCAAGGGTAGCGCTCTACCACTTGAGCCACAGTGCCACTTCCAGCTTTTTTCTTTTTGCTTATGTGGTGCTGAGGAATCGAACCCAGGGCCTTGAGCATGCAAGGCAAGCGCTCTACCACTGAGCCACCTTCCCAGCCCCACAAGTAACGATATGTCAAATGGATACTTTGGCATACATATTAAAATATTTTGAAAGTTATTAGTTAACATATATATGAAAAATATTATTAAAGCTAACACCTTTCATTCAACAGATGATAGAAGAGATCCAAAGGATCAGACAAGGATCTGAGTATAGCTCCCTTGGCTTTCTGGGAATGTTTTCGACCTTGATGGGAATTGTTCAAAAAATGTCCAAGACTAACAAATGGAAAGATCTAAGACTAACAAATGGAAAGAGTGGAGAGGGAAACTTGAGGCCACACAGGCAGAACCAGGATATGCTGTGAAAAAAAGGAAACCCAATAGAAGAACAGTGTCTCTTAATGGCACTGTTAGGAGATTACAGGCTGCATCTATGGTATTTGTTTTTCTAAAAAAAGTATTAACTATAACAGTATAAGTCACTAGATAGCAAAGCTAAGGGAAAAGGCATTAGGACAGAGAAATTAAAATAGGATGGTACATTCCTTAATTTTTCACTCTCTCCTCAGAGTACTAGAGATAAAGAAAACAAGGTTTGGTCTATGGGTGGAGGTAAAGAAAAAGTATGAACAGAGAGCAAGCATATCAGTACCAATCAGCCAGCAATTTCCTTCACTAGAAGGAAACTGATTAATGACCATCCTGCTAAGAAGACATCATCTACCATTCATCTCTATCTTGATGCGGACTGAGATGTCACGGTCCCTGTGTTTATCAATATGCACAAACAGGACATCTAGAAATCTATTGTTAGCAGGTCTCTTCTGAAGTCCTCAGTAGCTGTCTTTGCACAAAGATAGTCTCAAGCAGGGTAAAGGTGTGATTGGACTACTCATGTTGAGGTGATTAAGCCTCAGCTACTTTCAAAAAACAAGATTACAGTCTCCATGAGTCCCAAAAGAGGAGACTTAGAAAGTAGCCAATTGTTAAACAAAACACCCAGGAAAATCCTGGTAAGTCAGTGCATCAAAATGAAGAAGATGTAAAATAAGGTCACACTGAAGCCCTGGGTGGGGTAGGGAAGCACAGGTGGGCTGGGGGAACACAGGGAAGAGGCAGTCTGACATATGAAAATAGAGGGGGAAGCAAGGGGGAGTGAGGAGGTGGTAGCAGAAGAAAAGGAAGGTAAGATAAGAACAGAACATTTTAAAGTAACCCAGAACTCCATTGTGAAGGACAAGTCACGAGGCAGGGTACAGCTCAAAGACATGAGCCCCACATTTCAGCACTGCTAAAACAGCCTTCCACACATGCATGGAAAGAGGGCTAAGCAATCCACAGCACTGACTCCCAGATCACCAAAGGCTTAATGAGAGAAAGTCACCTAGGCTTTTCAACAGCACTATATGCCAGCAGCCTTTTTGCCTCTTCCCCCTCTGCCTGGAGGCTTAAACCATGACCTCACACATGCTAAACAAGGGGATCTACCTCCCCTCAGCATGTGTGCTTAACCTGCCTAGGTAGACCCTAATGCTGGAAAAATAAATCGTATCTACAGAAAAAATTATGTCATTATAGGTGTCTGCCTGTAATGATACCTGTAAGGGACTTCATTCTCTTCACAGCCAGTGTATTACCTTTTCCCAGAGTGAACAAACAGAGAAAGATGCATCAGGTCTCTTCTCTAGTTGCTGATAGGGGAACAGGATCTCCACAACCATTTCACTTGCCACATAACAGCTGTTTCATGCAATCCCTGAATTTCTTGCATATTTAAATCTTTCTCCATTAAACCCATGTTCTTTCCTTTGCTACCAAGAACGCAACTGCTAGTATACTTAACGAAAACACCAGTAAAACAAATTGGCACAAAAGTTGTCACACTTAGTCATTTATGGCAAAAAGATCAAACATGTCATTAAACTCTGTTACAAGATAGTTTGTGGAGGACTAGATGGTTGAGGGAGAGGTAACAATAAGAACTCGTGAGGGGCTGGGAAGGTGGCTCAGTGGTAGAGTGCTTGCCTTGCATGCATGAGGCCCTGGGTTCAATTTATCAGCACCACATAAATAGAAAAAGCCAGAAGTGGTGCTGTGGCTCAAGTGGCAGGGTGATAGCTTTGAGCTGAAGAGCTGTGGGATAGTGCCCAGGCCCAGAGTTCAAGCACCATGAATGACACAAAAAAAAAAAGAACTCTTGAGATCTCAAGAGTTGGAGTGGTATCAAGAGTGGAGTAGCCAGGCACCGGTGGCTCATGCCTATAATCCTAGCTACTCAGGAGGCTGAGATCTGAGGATCGCAGTTCAAAGCCAGCCCAGGCAGGAAAATCCATGAGACTCTTATCTCCAATTAACCACCAGAAAACTGTAAGTGGCACTGTGGTTCAAGTGGTAGAGCACTAGTCTTGAGCTGAAGAGCTCAGGGACAGCACCCAGGCCCAGAATTCAAGACCCATGGCCAACCAAAAAAATTAAAAAAAATAAAATAAAAGCAGAGTAGAGGGGTTGGAGGTGTGGATCAGTTGGTAGAGTGTTAACCAATGAATGAAAATGTCAGGTAATGAGTTTCAATCTCCATCTTGGCCGGAAGGATGGAGGAAGTAGAGTGGAGTAGAGGAATGGCTATTCCATGCCAATAATGCCAGTGAAACATAGGTGTATGCGTCTGTGTGTGAAGCTTAAGAATCCTTCAGGGCTGGGAAGGTGGCTCAGAGGTAGAGCACTTGCCTTGCATGCCTGAGGCCCTGGGTTCGATTCCTCAGCACCACATAAGCAAAAAGAAAAAAGCCGGAAGTGGTGCTGTGGCTCAAGTGGTAGAGAGCTAGCCTTGAGCTGAAGAGCTGAGGGATAGCGCCCAGGCCCAGAGTTTAAGCCCCATGACCGGTTGAAAAAACCAAAATACAGGCTGGGTATGTGGCTTAGTGGTGGAGTGCTTGCCTAGCATGCATGAAGCCCTGGGTTCGATACCTCAATACCACAAGCAGAAAAAGCCAGAAGTGGTGCTGTGGCTCAATTGGTAGAGTGCTAGCCTTGAGCAAAAAGAAGCTCAAGGACAGTGCCCAGGCCCTGAGTTCAAGATCCAGGACTTGCAAAACAAACAAACAAACAAAAATACCAAAATAAGCAGTGGCTCATGACTGTAATCCTAGTTACTCAAGACACTAAGATCTAAGGATCAAGTTATGAAGCAATCCCAGACAGAAAAGTCTGTAAGACTCTTATTTCCACTAGAAACTACCCCCCACCCCCCCCCAAAAAAAAACAGAATTAGAGCTGCAGCTCAAAAGATAGAATACTAGCCTTGAAAAAAAGAAGCTCAGGGATAACACCCAGGCCCCGAGTTAAAACTGCAGGATTAAAAAAAAGTCAAATGTCCAATTTGATATAAGCCAGAAAAACTCAATTACAGGCTAAGATGAAATGTAAAAGATATGGTGGATAAAGGAGGACACAGGGGTCAGAAATATCAAGTTGGAGAAAGCAGAATGCAAAACTCAACAGTAAGATCAGGGATCTTAGAATTCTGGAACCTGGGATTAATCTTTCTCCTTTACATCACCCCTGCCCCATTCAACAATATCAAGAGGAACAAAAAGAAGAAAAATAGGAGGCAAAGGAAGCAAGGGATCATCTCTTAACTCACCATATTAATTCGACAAGTAATATATGACCTAGGAAGAGGAAGACTGAGAAAGTTAATAGAGCAGGACCACAAGTATCCTGTCAGAATATTGAGAGAGAAAACTGCCTTTTAGGGCAAGCCAAGAATTTAAAAAAAAAAAAGCTGGGTGCTGATGGCTCACACCTGTAATCCTAGCTACTCAGAAGGCTGAGATTTGAGGATTGCAGTTCAAAGCCAGCCTTGGTAAGAAAGTCATGAGACTCTTACCTCCAATTAACTACCAGAAAATCAGAAATGATGCTGTGGCTCAAAGTGGTAGAACAATAGCTTTGAGCGAAAGAGTCCAGAATGTGTCCAGGCCCAGAGTTCAAGCTCCACGATCGAGCTAAATAAATAATTTTAAAAAAAACCCTCCACATCTACTCTGCTTGAGACTAACACCATCCTTACTCCCTGCCTGGCACCATGAAGATAAACATCCATGAAAAGAAGCATTCCACTATATACACAAAAGAGGCTTATAAATAAATGTTGCCTCAAGAGCCACAGCCATCTTCTCCCACTCTGGCCTAGGGCCCAGTAGGCTGTCCCTTGCTATGGGTGCCTGTGAATCAGCAATACCAATGCCAGAGATGGGAGTGCTCCCAAGCATTTGAGCCCTATGTCCCTCACCCCATTATCCTGTTATCATAAATAATAATTTTGGGGTTGGAAGCAAAGAATGTTTACCAATGCTGGGCAGACAGTGGCTAACTTGAAAGCATGCATAACTTGGGAGGAGGGAGAAGGCAGGCCAAGTATGTACTTACTCAAAGTCCTCAAATTCCAAGTCAGTTCCCTCTACTGACGGACCCTGGTTGTCTGAGGAAGAAGAGGAGGTGGAAGAACGGAGACGGTTCTGTTGGTAGCGCATGGAGCGCTGGCGAATACTGTCTCTCCGTGAGAGATACTGGATCATCCTCTGGGCGTAGTATGCAGCAGGAGATAATCTGAGAGAGAGATGGACAAATAAAACTAGCACTAATGTGGGGAATATTGTGAACAACAGTAAATCCAGCTCTCTCATGGCATCTCCCCGCTGAGGCAAATTCCGGATGCATGAAAAATACAGGACATTTAACTCACCAGGAGGTATGTACTGCAGAATATACTTATCAGACTATCACCAGTGCTTCTGTTCTAAGGCAAATAGCAATTTAATCAGTCATCTTCTGTTGAAGGACTACCCTTTCTCAAGAGGATTAGCACTGAGCTTTTCTATTTAGCTTCTTAACCTGGCTTAGCTTTTCAGGGTGCCCTTAAAACATAGTCACAGCTTTTCTTTGATCACCACAGACAAAAATGTAAGAAATGAGAAAGGCCTTCACATTCATCTACTCTTTCCATTTTGCAAATCAGAAAACAGGCCAGGGAATGGTAAGTACTGGATGATTAACAAAAGCACCACAAACACCTAAGTATCATCCAAGGTTATCATTTTCACTAGAACTTCTTTTCCCTCTCTGACAAATGTACGTAAGTCCAAATTTCACTTAATGCCTTATAACTGTATCTTTCAACCTCTTAGATTAATCACAGATATTTGTAACATGGAGAAAATATTTAGGGTAAGGATTGACAGTAATATATACCTGAGAAAACAGAAAGTCGAAAAAAAAATTTTTCTACTCTAAGAATCAGAGCATAGAGGCAACATAGGTATATCTTCCTTACTAGCTATTCCAATAAATCATTAGTCTAGACTCTCATTCTTCAAACCAAGGATTCAATTATCTTAATATTCCCTGACAACTTCTAGTGCATTACACAATTCCCCACATTCCATTCCTTCATTCTCAAGTTTTCCTCCATCTCTCACAACACAGTTATATAATTTGAGGCTATGAACTGAGAATATGAAAAGAATAATAAGAGAAAAATGTTTTTTTGAGAATATTAAGTGAATTGCTAAGCATTTCAACTTAAAATCTGAGGCACATACTCTTACTAGGAATTTTATCATACAGAAACAAGCAAGAGTACAAATATGTATATGTAAACATGTATATATATACACATACACACATAAGGAAGTTCATTTAAGCATCGTCAACACTAGTAAAAAGGTGGGAAATAACCAAATAGTGACAAATTAAATAAATTATACCCATAAAGAAACGCTATGAAATCATTAAAAGATTAAATGATCCCTCTATACTCAAAAGAAAAAGTCTCTAAACTACAAATTTTAAGTGGAGGAAGAGTTAAAGAATAGTATGTATATATGAATATGTATACAAAAATATGTATTTCTGTAATTAAGGGAAAAAACTAAGAGGAGACACAGCAATCCAACTGAGGACTCTTAAGGACTTTTATATTTTATATACTTCTATAAATGTTTGAATATAAAAAGAAAAAAGTTCATATCTTCTGTTACTTTCTAGTGGAAATCTAAAAAAACTGATCAAGAATAGAAACAGTTGTATCCAAATGGTATAAAAGGTATTTATTGCTGGGAGCAGTGGAACATTTTCATGATGTTCCTGGCTACTTAGGAACCTTGAGGTGCTGGACTGATAGTGACAGGATGAAAGTTTGAGACCAGCCTCAAACTTTTATCAAGGTCTAGTTTCAGAAACAAACAAAACAAAACAACCAAAATACAAAATGAAAAATTGTTTGCAAACATCTTACACTTGGACTTTTCAGGGCCCTGAAACCTTGTCCTCAGTAATTCTACTGACACAGGCCAAAGGAGATCCTGCAGCTAACTGCAACAGGAAGTGAGCCTGTCTTGAAATGCCTGTCATCGGAGGTGGTATCCTTCTGTCAGATGCCAAATGGAATTCACAAGGAGGTAGGTGATGATCTTTGGAACTCAAAAGTCTGTGACATGGAATAATATGCCACACTCAGCATCACCAAACTCAAATGAAATATAGTAGTAGAACATACAGACATCTAGGCCAAGACCATCAGAGTACGAAAACTCTTTGCTAACAGCCTCAACTGGTGGAATTCTCATTATCCACTTGGGCCCCTATTCCCATGGTTTTGTTGTTGTTGTTTAATACGGATCAATCACAGAAAACTAAAATTTCAACAGACAGAATACTCTTCAGTTGTTCTTATTGCTACCAAATACACAGAAATCTTCTGCCAAAAATCAGTATCAATTAGATTCTCAAGTCAACCATATTAGACAAGAATGGAACAGGAAAAATGTTTTCAAGAAGGGAGCAGATCCTGTAAAGTGACTTTATGTGACCATAAATATACTCATTCTTCAGTGATAGCCTACTCTCAAATGGAAAAATTATAATAATGTTACTGCTGATGGTAATGCTAATAAAGAATGCTTTTCATTGTAGGGATATAAATTCAGCACTAGGTAACCAAACTTATCTTACTATAGGACAAGAATTCCCTAAATTATGAAACTACATATCAGTGGTTACAAAACAAAACAAAACAGGGAAGAAAAAAATGGGAGAGAAAATTCTTAACATCCTAGCCTTGTCCTATCCACCTGGTAAGAGGAAAAGGAAAAAAATGACAGCTGTAAAGAGCTAAAAATCCATCAAACAATTCTAAAGTGTTCCAACTGAAAATTTTAAGCGTATACATAACTCCTCAAGTTTTCTTCAAGGAAGAAACACCTATCACTCAAAAAAACACACACACACACACACAAAAACTATACTATGTTCAAAGAAAAAATATAAAAATCCCACTATCACAAAGTATGACACTTTCAGTAATCAAGAGATCAGGGCATGGATAAATATTGGCATATATGAAAAGAGGGCAAATAATGAATGCTCCTTAAAAACCACTTGTCAGGGAATGAGCCTTCCATTACTGTCCTAAAAGAAATTGTTATATTTCTATGTTTTGTATCCCAGTGTTTAAAAGTACTTGACAATGGCAAAATTTCCTTCCTTTATTAAAGAATTCGTCACTTCCCAACATAACTAGAGATTAACATAAACTTCCTTGCTTCAGCCATCATATAAGTTGCCTATATGTTGTTAAAGTCATCAACTCCTATTCCTGAGTCCTCAGATTGGCCATTTCTTGGTATGGAAAATGAAGTAAGGAGATAATTTAAAAATTCTGTTCACTAGTATCTCAAAAAGTATAGTATCATAACTGTGTCAACAACAAAATTATTTAATAGCCCTGGAATCAACCTAAAGATGTTTCCAAGTGGACTCAGTCAATCTGGTCAAAGCTCATTTAATTTTATCTGACCTATGTTACTACCTTGGTAACCCAACTATTATAAAGTTATTCATTTTTCAAACTCTCAATACATGCTCTTGTATTAATTAAATAAAGTTCAGTTATCCCTTTTAGATCATTAGTGGAATCAATAAAACCAGCTGAGACAACCACAAGGGGCTACTCAATATTCTATCCTTGGTTCTGTTATCTACATCTGGGAAGGATGGGTTTTGAATTCATCTAATTACCTTAAAGGATATGCTCTAATAAAATGACAGTGTTTCATTGTTATTCTTTTTCACCTCTTCCTACAAGAGTCCCCAAAATATTAAGTGAAAGTGCTTGTCTTCTGCCCTTTGATATTCTAAATTTCCTAAATTATAACAAATAGAAATGTTTTTGCTTTGTTTTAATTAATATTTTCCTATAGGTATATGTTCTTAAATTTTCAGTTCCCCTTTGGCTGTCCATTTGACTAGCAATGGCCTCAAGCCACTGGGAAAGAACATTGTGAGATGGCCTGTGGTTTTTGCAGCTTCCCCCTTCCCCCAACAGAAATGAGCCCCAAAGTACAAGAGCTCGGTCATAATCCTCTGTACCAGAGGTGCTATTCACTTACCTGCAAAACTTCCCAAACACCTGAATTCCTGTCTTAAAACTGTAACTGAAGAATAAAAGAGCACCAGGACCAGAGAGGCACAGGAAGGGCTTCCAACAGCTTGGCAACCCCAAGGGCCGCCCCTCCCTCCCACCTAGTGCCATTTCTCACTTTGGCCTTACCTCGCTGGGTCTGGGTAAATTGGGTGCTCTCTGGATCCTGCTCCATCATAACGGGATAATGAAATGAGAGAAGACTCCAGCAGCCTCCTAGCAGAGATTAAAAAAATGGCAATAATCCCTGTCAATTACCAACTCAGAGGTCATTCACAAGGGAAATGGGGGAGAGGTAAATAACATCCCCCTTTGCAGCCAGCTAACATCTATGATCTGGAACCTTACCCTTTCTACTAGCTAAGTATGTAAAAACATAAAGAGCTATAGAGAGCTCCCATATTAGGTGTGTCTATTTGTACTGTGCTGAAGAGTACTCTTTGGTGAGAAATCATGTCTTAGAAACATGATCTTTTTCTGCTTACAGTGCAACTAGTAGACAAATACAAGGCTAAAATCAACATAGGAGGGAAAAGTAAGCATATACATAGAGATTATCATGTGGTGCCAATGTTTATCTTAACATTTAGTTCCTCCATATCAGCAAAATCCACATTCCCATTCTGCTCTACCTATACCATTTTGTGAGGAAAAAGTACTCTTAGAGATCAACAAGATGAAATATACACACTTCTCATGGAGCACTCTTGGATGCCAGGTAATATGCTAAGTAAGTACTTCACATGTACTTCTTTCTTTAAAGCTCACTGCAACCTGGAGAAGTGGATTTTATTAAATACATGAGAACAGTGGGCCTAGAAATTAAAATATATGGCCTTCTGGCAAACAACTATTTTGCATCAGTGAAGGCCTGTCTTCAAATCTCTATATTGTACTTCAAGACCTTCCATAGCTAAACTATAATTTATTCCTGCCCTGCTGAGCAACAGACACTAGCAAAGAAGGGAGACGTTCTACCACTCAGCTCCAGCCAACTGTTCCAAACTACAATGAAAGCTCAATATTGCTGGCTCTCTTCCTACTCTGTAAAGGTAGCCAACAAAGACAAAATAAATATAGACATACATACATACATACATACATACATACATACATACATACATACATAAAGGTAATCAGAAATCTGGACTTTTTTTCCCCCAATCATAGGGCTTGAACTCAGGTCTGGCACTGTCCCTGAGCTTTTCTGCTCAAGAATAGTGCTCTATCACTTCCAGCCACAGCGCTGCTTCAAGTTTTCTAGTGGTTAACTGGAGCCTCACGGACTGTCTGGCCCCGGCTGGCTTTGAACCACAATCCTCAGATCTCAGCCTTCTGGGTAGCTAGGATTACAGGAGTGAGCCACTAGTACCCAGCTGAAATCTGAACTTTTGTATGAAATCTTCTAGTTGTTAAATTTTGGCTACACAATAAGGATCAGTTAAAACACACCTCATATATATGACCTTCCTGGGTCTACCATGTTTGCTATCCTGCTTCCCAATAATATTTATGCACTGGGAGCCAATGAAGCTCCTATCTTAAAATGTTTCAAAGGAAGCGGTTTCAGAAAAAAAATGCATATTGTTCCTCTCTAGCAGCATCTTGCCTGGCTCTGCTAGGAATAAGGTCTCCAGCTCCCTGTCAGACTCTTCTTTAAAGGAGATCTGGACAGCAGTTATCAATCATTTTCAATTGAGTTAATTCAATTTAATGCTATTAAAACTAGCAGGCTTTAGGTATAGTCATGTGCAGTCACTTTATCCCAGAAACTGGCATAAAGAAGCATTTTCCCCAAATCAGACTATGGAAGAAACACAGCCAAGGCCCTAAAGAACTCTGCTTTCCAACTTTTCTGCAGGGGTTCCCCTGCAGAAAACAAGACCATATGTCCACTCTTCTAACAAATGGAGCACTGAACGAGAACAGACAATATAACTCAAAGAAAGAAAAGAATAAAAATACATCTTCCTGATTGAATGCCTAAGTCCTCAGTAATATCATTTTTACAGGAACAGAAAGGTTGTGCTTTTTGGAACTAAGATGTGGCTCAAATGGTAGAGTGCCTGCTGTAAGTGAAAAAAGCCAAGCCAGGGCCAGTGTCAGCATTATTATTATTTTATTTTTTGGTCTGAGATTGGGACTCAAACTTGGTACGTGATGTTTTTGCTCACTGGCTAGTGCTCTATCAACTGAACCATGCCTCCAACCCCAAGTGCCAGCATTATTTTGTTGGTTGTGGTACTTGAACTCAGGACCTGGGATCTGTGCCTGGGCTTTTTTGTTCAAGACTAGTGCTCTACTACTTTGAGCCACTTCTGGTTTTCTGGTGGTTAACTGGAGATAAGAGTCTCCTGGCCTTTCCTGCCCTGGCTAGCTTTTAACCTGGTGATCCTCAGATCTCAGCATTCTCAGTAGCTAGGATACAGGCGTGAACCGCCAGTGCCAGGCCAGTGCCTGCATTATTATATAAGAAGAAGAAGAAGAGGAGGAGGAGGAGGAAGAGGAGAAGGAGAAAAAAGCTGTGTTTCATACATCATAAAGCATACTTTTATACATTCTAATATATCATAATTTGGGATCAATCTTGTAATTGCCACTTTTTCCTTCTTTAAGACATAAAATAATGCTTATCTCTCAGCCTTTGAAATAGAAGATGCTTGCCCTAGGGGAAAATGACACATAGACTAGAGAAAAAAGAAAAACTTTTGAGAAGTATTTATTCAGTACGTTTATGTCACATTTTAAAAATTAATTTATAGCCAGGTGCCGGTGGCTCATGCCTATAATCCTAGCTACTCAGGAGGCTGAGATCTGAAGATCACAGTTCAAAGCCAACACAGGCAGTAAAAGCTGTGAAACTCTTATCTCCAATTAACTACCAGAAAACTGGAAGTGGTGCTGTGGCTCAAGTGGTAGAGCACTCACCTTGAGCTGAAGAGCTGAGGGACAGTGCTCAGACCCAGAGTTCAAGCCCCATAACCGACACCCCCCCAAAAAAAATTATTTTTAACCTGGTGCTGGTGGCTCACTCGTGTATTTTTTTTGGGGGGGGGTCTGGTCATGGGGCCTGAACTCTGGGCCTGGGCGCTGTCCCTCAGCTCTTCAGCTCAAGGCTAGCGCTCTACCAGTTGAGCCACAGTGCCACTTCCGGCTTTTTTCTTTTCGCTTATGTGGTGCTGAAGAATCGAACCCAGGGCCTCATGCATGCAAGACAAGTGCTCTACTCCTGAGCCACCTTCCCAGCCCCTCATGTAATTCTAACTACCAGAGATCCAGAGATTTTGAGGACTGAGGATGGAGGCCAACTAGGGAAAATGCATGCAAGACACCTTCTTACCCATAGCTGAACTCAGTGGTGCATGTCATCCCAGCCAATCAGGTGGCTGAAGTCAGGAGAATGCGGGTCTAGGGAAACCCTGGCAGAAAAGTTTGCAAGACCTCTTCTTAACAATTGAGTTCAGTGGTGTATGCCTGTCAACTTAGCTACAACAGAAAGTACAAATAAGAGAAGTAACAACCAGGCTGACTTGGCCAAAAAGACCAGAGCCCAAAAGGGTAGAGGCATAGCTCAAGTGGAAGAGTGCACACCTAACAAGCAAAAAGCCCTCAGTTCAAACCCCCGTACTAGAAATTAACTGGTATATGAAAACATTAAATTGAAAGTTGGTGAAGCACCTTGCTATGTTTCAATATTTGGGTCAGATTAAGCATATCTCTTTAAACATATTTATCTCTGTTAAAATCTAATTTTCTGAACTATATAGTACATTATTGTTACTATAGTCACCCTCCTGTGCAACAGCAATGAGAATTTCCTGTTAGTAATTATAACTTAGTGTATTCATTAATCAACCAATGTCGTTTTCTACAGTACTTATTCATTACTAATAAACTAGTTCCTTAAGATCTAAGTGAGAGTTAAAAATGGAAGGTCTGGGAACAGCTGTCTACCCTAGAAAATTTGTAAGACTGTTCCAATCCCTGGACTTAGTCCTGCTAGCTCTAAACCCTGCTGTTGTATTGCCCTCCAAATAGCTGTTTAGTAGAGGCCTTTTGATGAGAAGCATCCTCCAGAATGACCAGAACACAGCCTTATTCAGTGGTTTAGCCTGAAAATGTTAAGCTAAGAAGGCAACTATTACCCCTACTACATCAAGGCAGTGACAGCACTGAGAGATTCTGAGAGAGCTGTATTAGGGAGGCTATAAAGGAGATTCCTAAACTGAAAGTGTTTAAACAACTTCCATTTCCATGATTCCATCTAATATTCCTGCAAAGTCTACTTCCCACCCTAACTTCCTATCTTAATTAGGAAGACATTTAAATCAGAGTAAAATCAAAATATTAAGTAAACTTTGTCTCTAGGGAGTCCTTGCTGAGGTTCTTTTGGAACATGTATCCTCTGTGCCTACTTACTATAGAATCTTTTGGCACCAACTGCTCCACAAATAATGTAGTGGGCCTGGAAAGCCACATATACAGCATTTTAACTGCTAATGCACAAAATAAAGAAAACCAATCAGGACAAATAGTACTACATCACACATACAGATCACTGATGAAACACAAATTCCTTGCATCATGTGGAGTTAAAACAGACTTCTTCAATTGATGTCAAATAAAGAAAGAACTATAGTTACTAGACAAATAAACATCATCACCACCACTACCACTCCTAGCACCTCAGAGAAAGATCTTTCTCTCCTAGTGTTAGCTTCTTGCAGAGAGCCACCTAGTAAAAAATGTCATGAGAAAAATGGAATGGGTTGGCAGCCATTTTTGCCTTCTGCTCTGGCCCCCACAAATGGGATTTGACTTAATGACCTATCATGTAATTTGATAATCTGAAATCAGGAAGGGCAGAAGGGAGGCGTCAGATAAACTTGTTCGGGCTTGAAGCTGACATTTCATTCTGACCTATAATCTCAATTTAGAAATGTTTTAAAGAAGCTCTGACGGGGGGAGGGGGGAGCTCTTTCTTTTCTCTACCAGCTTATCTGGTTCATTGTCTATATCAATGATGTCTAAGCAAAAACTAACTAGAGCTATGCTATTCTGATCTGCTACAGAGCAGACAGAATAATCAAAAGCCTTTCACCAATAAAAGTATTTTGTAAAAGTCTGGACCACTATTATATCAAATTGTACACTGCCTTGTATATTGAATATGTAAGAAACTTCAGTATTGAATTTTTTTTGGGGGGGAGGGGGGT